TTATGTTAAATAGATTATTTAATTCTAAGCAGCAATCACTTCAAAGAGGGAAATCACTTCATGTGTAGTCACTGTTACGTTTGTTATATAGGAACTTCATTCCCTGGGGTTTCATAAATTGTTATTTTCATATTTTTTACTTACAACAGACTAGTTCCAAGTTTAAAGGCCATGCAATACAGAGGAGCCAGATGCTCACACAAATCAGATACCAAAGCAAAGCAGTTTTTCTTGGTTTTGTTTGTTTATTTTAGCAGTTATATAGAAGCTTTTTAAAAAATCACAAAGTGTCTGTCAGAAGTTTAAAGGATTGAAAGTGTAATTTCTCTGAGCCAGCATTATTTTTTTAGAAAAGAAGTCATCTCTTTTAAATATCTATGGAAAAACCTAATGTACTTTTGGTTTCACAAAATGTGCTTATGGCCTCATTTTCCAGAATATTTTGTTATGTAAAACCATAGTTTCATGATTCTAACTGGAAAGGATATCGATATAAAATAATCAACATGGGCCCTCCCTGGTGGCTCAGCGGGTTAAAGCAGAGAAATGAGAAGCTAAAGCCACTTCAGCATGAGTTCGATCCCCACCGGCCCCAGAGGTGACCACATGGCGCGGCAGACCTCTCCTGACCCGCCCGCTGCTCCCCTCAGCAGTGTACTTCCACCATCTGCCTGTTCTGCTCTCCACTGGTGAATCCTCTCACCGCCCTGCACCTCTGGCTTGTACCTCAGTTCTGTTTGCACAAATAAGTAAATCTTAAAAAAAAAACAAAACAAAAAAAAAAAAAACATCCCCATGTATTTAATACTGTCAGTTAACCCAGTTTCTCATATTTTAATATTGAGCATTGTCTTAAAAGTTTTTCTCAAGATAAGCATTATTTCCTTAATAGGGCTTTTTTAAAGGAATGTAAAGAAGAATAAAATGAATCTGAGTAATTCACATAATTCTTTTTTTAAGTTTATTTAAAATAGAATATTAGCATTTTAATACATTTGGCTTGAAAATTTTAGAGATTACTAAACATGATTGGAATCATTCACATGGTTCTAAAGATGTAACAGTAGGTAAAATTTTTTCATGAGTCAATTTTTAATATTAAAAGCAAGACGTAAAATGGGATATACAGTATGATTCACAGTAAGATCTCATGCATCCTATAAAAATCATGTAACATACATGTGCTATAAAAGCCTCTGTATTGTGCAGGTGTTTCCACACCTCAGGTACACAAAAGGAAATTTTTGCAGCAGTTATCTTTGGTGATTCTTTCAGCTTATCTGTATTTTCCAAAATTTCTGCACTTATTATGTGTTTTATATTCATAAAATCTATATATAACTTTTTATAAACATCAAGTAGATTGCAACATTACTTGTTGCTTGCTTATTCTACACATCTGTATGTCTGCAAACATGAAAGGAGATGGTAAGCAGATATGTTCCTCCCTTGGATTTTGTCACAGTCTAGATCCAGAAGCACTTAAAACATTTATGTATACATTAAAAATAACATATTTTTTTCTTTATAACTCTAAAAAATGTAGATGATGGATAAATTAATAGGAGGTGAAGGGAAGAAAGACCAACATGTCAAAATCCCAGTCATCTGTATGCTTATCAATTCCATAGTCCTATTGAAAAACTACAGAGATTATTACCGCAAGAGAGTGAAGCACTGATGATCAAAAAGTTAGGCAAGATTTGAATCACAAAGTGAGTCTCCATCCTTGGCTCCACCTAAAAGCACTAGATCATACTGAAATTTGCAGCGTGTGTAGTTGAGAAGCAGTGGGTACTCTGTGACCACAAATGCTTCTGGTTTCGTAGGATTAGGGGGTTCTGGCTCAATTAAATATAAACAGTATTCTAGTAAACTTTAGCTCCTTTCAGTTCTGTTGATAATTACTTAAGTGTGGAAAGGTTGCTGCTGAGTGTGTCTCAATCTTGAAATGAACTAGTTTACGAAATTATATTCCAGGTATTAAAGTTGGAGGGTGATGAGGGCCTTTTTTCCACAGTTAAGTATTTGAATTGTTCCCAGGTCCCAGAGACATCTACTTAAGAGGGTCTGCTCTTCGATTGCTCATGTATAGTTTCCTGCTAATATTTCTAACTACTTCTTACAGAAAAAAGGGTAGAAAATATAGTAAATAATACAGCAGTAGGGGAAAGTGTAAGGAATATTAGTTCTGAACTCTATTGTCATTTCTTTTGGTAAACTGCAAATTCCATGGAGCTCTGCTGTCTTATAGTCTAACTCCAGTAGCTGGCTCAGGACTCAGCAAATTCTTTTGTTTGGGAGAGGTGAGTGATAGGGTAAACGGGTTTAGAAAGAATGACCTCAGTTCACCGTGGGTAACCAGAGCAGGAAATGAGCACAGTACCTCCTCCCACATCATAAGACTAGAGACCAGTACAGCACTGAACCCTACTGTGACCAGCAGTGAGTCAGCTTATCTATTCTAGAACTTTCTGCACTTGTATTCTGCCGTGACTGTTACCTGGATGCCAGCCCCTTATCATTCAGCTCGATACACACTAACAATGCATTCATACAAACGAATGCATATACGCACAGGCATACAGTGTCCAAAGTACGCTTTGCTCTAAGATCCTCCTAGCCCTCATTCTTCTCAACAAATCAATACCAAAAAAAAAAAAAAAAAGTGATTTTTTTTTTTTCCTTAAAGCAGACCCAAAGTGGTTTTTTGTTAGTCTGTTGTCATGTTTGTTTTTGTGTAAATGAAAGGCAATATTACTTAATCCTCTCCAGATAATAATCACATCACCACTGTTTCAGCCTCCAGGCAATGCTCACAAATTTGAATCTAGCTCTCATTAATGTATAGGACACCCTAACAACCTCTTCCCATTTGAGGCAACCTCAGTAATCCTATGATGTGGTATAACTACACGACAATTAATGAAACTTCACTGTTTAAAATCTCTGTGTTGGGAGGGTTATTCAGCATTTCAGAGTTCTTTTCCAGCAGACATATTTTGGTGTTTGCCTTTATTCAGTTCTTTAAAATCCAGACATACTTGAAGCCAAATGGTTTATAGTGAAAGAATCTCCTATGGATTTTAATTACCAGATCTAGTTTTTGTTTATTATAAGCAAATTATAAGAGGCAACTAAAATATACCTTCACATTGTATTTTTCTTCCAAACACAAATGAAAATAGAGTTCGCCTTCATCCTTGAACTCATGACTGTACATCTGGTGAAATGTGTTTTTAAGCATCACAAACTTTTGAAAAAAGAATGTAGTCCATTCTTTATTGAAGACACTTTGCCACTGAAATTATAGAAACAATTCTACTGTTACTAAAATGAAACAGTTTTGAGATAATTGGCAAAAACTGCTTCTGGACAGTTTTCAAAAATGAAATCTCTCCTTCATTGAAATTATAATCATCTTTCCTTTTGCTTTAATAGGGAAAATGAGCAAGACAATAGCTATCCTAAATACTGTGTATGTATATCTTTTACAGTACTTGGGGATCAGTTAGGCATTAATGAATATATACTGCCCTGCCTCAACCACAGAAAGAAATAATAGTCTTAACCAACATTCATACCCTTTCAGCTTGCATTTATCAATTCCAATATAATTTCTGTAAAAAATTAGAAGACTTATTTCCAGGGGTTCATTTTAGATTGATGTGCCTAGGTCAAGGTGCACTTAACTTGTAGAAAATAAACTTTGTAGCTGGGCAATTATAAAGAAGAAAATTGATGAAAATGCTCTACCTTGAGAAATTATCTAGATATTTTAATTTTGGTTATCTGGATAATCTTAAATAAAAAAAGAAAAAGCCAATTGCCTCTCAGAAAAATGGAATCCTGGAGCTAAGGAGGTGCAAAATAATACACATTTTCTGTAAAGTGTGTTCTGACCTTTTCTGCTTTTTATTTTCCACACTCTGAAATTCAAGATCACCGCAAAATTTGATGACTGTAACAACCGGTCTATTTTCTAGTGAGAAACCCTTTCCTCACGTCCTTCACGTGTTGATTGTATCCAGCGGTGTTTTATAGTGTTGTTTTAGGTCACTGCCGTCCCTTTACAGAATTGTTCCTGAGGAAGTGAACGGTTCGCTTGCAGTGCTCAGTCAGGGTCATAGGCGACAACTTTTCATGTAAAACAAATGCATTCACTGCTGGTGAAAGAACTTTGGCTAGCTAGCTAAAGAAAACGCCTGAGATTTTAGAAAGCGACTAACAAATTATTCATGCTGGGAAATACGGTAAAAGAACTGGGGGGGGGGGGCAGGGGATGGCGGGCAATGGCCATTTCTCCCTTTTCTCCAAGCAGAATGTTGCGCAACTTCCTTGCCCTCCCCGCCCCTCTGAGAATCGTCACGCTGACACCTTGCTCCTGCATCCCTGAGCCTGGTGTGGCTGAGGTTGCTGCAGCAACCGCACACACGGGAAACATTCCCCTGTAACTCCAGTGGCCGAGACGTGAGTCAGTTGACAAGTTCTACTAGGTTTTTATTAGTGTATGATGCAGTCCTGTGTCATCTACAGTTGCTAGCCTTTCCAAGACTCACACACAGTGATGCAGGACACTCGATGCTCCTCACCTTCAAATGTTAGATGGCCCCGCCGAGCCTCCCACCGAATCCTCTTCAGTTGCTGGGTCCTTCCACAGCACCCTACATGCTATCTACCACTAGAGGCCAAGAGTATTGCTCAGGTCCCACCGCTGGAACGATCTCTCTCACTGTATCCTGTATGCCTAATAAGCAACAGAGACCTTGATTAGTGATCAAGAAGCCCCAGTTTTGACCCAGGGAGGTGGACAGTGGTTAACATTCCAGGAGACATGTTTTCACCCAAATGCCTGGGAAGAACATGTGCTGAAGAATAAGAATGGAATTATTGTAATTCTCTATGGGAATTTATGAAACTGGAACTTACTATTTAATATTCATCAAAGCGATCAGAAAGTTATTGGTAACTCCTAACACGGGATCTGGTTTATTTTTCAGACACGGAGATGACTTGATTGTGACTCCATTTGCTCAGGTAAGCACAGACTGGTGAACAAGCAGGTTGCTCACAGACCTGAAAATTTTATTTGGGGGATTAGTTCTTGTTTCATTTGAAATCAGGCACAACTAATACATATCTGTGGTTCATTCAAGTTAATGCAAAGGTTATGCTAGAGAATGTGACTTTGGCCATGTTCATCTGATTCCTACAAACCTGCTCACTTAAGAGTGACTTTGTTTCAAATTATAACTTACTTCAGTGACATACTTAAGTGGGACCATATTTTCTTAATTGCAATCACTAGACTCAGAAGGCTATATCACAGATTAATTGTATTCACTATAATTAAGTACATGATCAGCACTTGAAATTCAATATTCCAATTCAACCTGATGCTTTAATACTGTTTTCCTTTAACATGTTAATTGTACAAAGGTTTAATTGAATGATGTACTTTTGTTTATTTGCTCCTTTCAGCATACAAATCAAGAAAATACTTTAACGACATGGCATAAATTCTAGAAAGTGATAAAACAACCTAAGTAATTTTTGCTGAGTGACTCTGGGCAAGTCACTGAACTTTGCATACCTAGTTTCCTCCTCTATTAATGGCAGTGCCAAAAGTATCCAACTTGTGAGGTGGTGACACGTGGTTGTAAAATTCTTGCTGCAGTTACTAGAAAATAAATATTTAATGAATTGTAAATGTTGTTATCAGTCAGCACCTTTGCATCTCTAAAATGGCATAATAGAAAACTTTTAAAAATTCTTAATAATCATCACCAAATGTAGAAACAGTCTAAATAGACAAAGATAGCTCTTTATTCTACTTAAAATCTGCAGGTATTGTAAGAAATATATATCTAAATATATACTAAAACTGTATGTGATACCTTATTTTCTTACATCAAATAGTATTTATTAATTTCCTATAGATTATACATTTGATTTGGTCCTTGCAGCTGATGGGCTTAAACTCTAAGGGAATCTTTTCTTTTATATAATTAAACATTCTTTTCTTTAGTGAACCAATAATCTCTAAAAGAAAAAAAAACAGAATTTCAGTTCTCTGAGAAGTATGTTTTTTAAAATATCCCTCACTGTATGTTAGCAAGCTGTTTAAATAAATAAAACTGTACTTAATGCCTTGAAATTGAAACTTTGAATATAAACTGACTATGTAATATTGAAATATATCTGAGACCTGAAAGTAATTATCTTTAGAAGAATTTGCTTAAGATCAGCTGAATGAGTCACAACACCTCAGAGGAGGTGATCAGTGACCTAGAGTCTTCTATCATGGCTTTATCATGGTTTTCACAAATGGATTTTGACTAGGGTATTGACCTGGTAAGATCCACTAGATTTTTTATACATAGTCTATTAAACTTTAAACGATTTCACCGCCAAAAGAGGTTCTTTAAGAAAACAGGTAAGAAAAAGGAGTGAGTGACAATTTGTGAACTTCTCTTAAATCCTGTTGGACAGAACTAAAATCCATTGGTTGACCTAAACACTAAAGCCTCAAAGTTTTAATACCGATACAAGACCCATCATTCAATGATACATTTGTAATGCAAAACTGTAAGATATTTATATCACTTGAAGTGATATTGAATTGTTTGGCATAATATGTCATAGTTAATTTTATCAATGGACAGCAGACAGTTGATTTTTGACTTATCACTCAGGGAAACATTCAAGTAGGTTGAAGAATTCTCCACTTTTCCCCGTATGCTTTGATATCTGGAATTTTATGCAAAGTTCTTCTGGTGAAAAATCCATTTTGCTTTCAAAATAAAATCCTTTTGCATAAAAAGTTTAGAAAAGGTAATATGTAAAATGAGGAAAAAGAAAATCCCCCATGATCCCAAACTCCAAAATGCTATTGGTATTTTACTTTTATATTCCTTTAGTATTTAGGTTTATTTTTCTGTGTATTTTTCTTTCTCATGATTCTTAAAAATGGGCCTGTTACTTTCAAGCCAGAAACCTTCTCCCAATCCTACCTCATCTTTTGCCTCTTCTTGAGAACTCATTTCTCTATGACTGAGTACATATTCAAAATGTGAACAGATCCAGCCCTGTTTTTCCCCATTTGTGATTTACTATGAAGCTGAGAATAAAGTTCTCAGTTACTAGAGAAGTTACTAGAGAATTTAAGAAGTCATTCAAGGAACTATCCTACATTGATGGGCAGGACTGAAACCTACAACTTCTCACATAGACGTCACCTTCAGAAGATAACCTGCAGTAGTACTGCTTCATGTTCCATTCCAATGACTCAAACACTGTCAGGGGCAGAAATTTTTACTGGTGTTAAATCTAAAATTTTTCACTTTCAATTTCTTATTTTCCCCCTACAAGCTCACAATCCTGTTGGTTCCCAGGGGGCAGCTTTAAGTACTGGATTTACTTACATTTTTAAATAGCCTCCTCCTTTCTGTTGAAATCTTTGATGTGGGTAATCTTGCAGACAGCAGAGAGGGTTGGTGTTCTGAGGAGTTCCTCCGCTGTGCCCTATCATGCGGATGGCAACTATTAGTTTTTCCTCCTGAGAGAGTAGTAATGATTTTCTCAGTTCTTGGGAATCAAGGACACCCAATATTGAAGAAATAGAGGAACTCTTGCTTGGGAGTCAGCTCAGCTACCTGTGAGCCCACCTGTCCCATTGTGCGTGATAGGATTTACTTTATTGTAACACTTTAAGCTGACTGGAATTCCCATTTGGAAGTAAATAATGTTAAAATAAGTGAGATCTTCGATTAAGGAAGTGAAAGAAAAATGCCCAAATATTACCTAGGTCCCTGAGAAAACCCATATATCATTCAGTCTAAGGAGATATGTCTGTTTACTGGAGTTTAACCGAAAATTTCTTTCACTTTCAATACAGGGTAGAAACAACTGAATCATTTTACATTCTAACCAAATACTTGAGATAATTTAGAATAAATAGAGTAGTTATTAACTATAGAAGGTTATTATTCCATTGGTAACAAAATATTGCCAATATTTTTATAATTGTCCATCTCACCCACAACAGCCATCACGTGACCTCGTGAATCCGAGGTTGCTGAATCCGCCAGGCTCTTCCTATAGCCTATGAAATAAACTGTTTCAATTAATTTTTCAATACTTCATTAAAATAAATTACAACTAGTGTCTTCTCAAAATCTTAAAGTTCTTTTTAGGACGAATTCTATGAAATCGTAGTATTTAAGCTTTGTTGACATACAGAAATAGCAATTTCATATGATTTGACCAAAACATAACTTGGAAAGAGGCTTATTTTTCTATCAAGATAACCTTTCTAGTTTGTGAATAATCATAATTGACTCCAGTTTATTCTGGAAAAACAAGACAAAGAATTCTTTCTCCATTCTCCTCCCTCACGACCTGTAGCAACTCATTGTGTTTTATCGCCCTCTAGTGGCACAAAGTGTATTAGGAATGAAAATCAAAATCTCTTCGTTATTTTTTTTCAGCAGGGGTTTTTAACAAGTAAACGATCTCCACAATTTAAAAAAAAAATAAATCTCTTATTTAAATCTTTTCAAGAAATCATTATTATGTAATTATATTTTCTTTTAGGTTTTTATGTTGTGTTTAACATTTAAATAAAACCCACATTTTCCTGCCATTTTCAGTGAACCTTACCAGTCAATCATTGGTTAGAAATACTTAGCAAAGTCTGAGATTAGTATATATAAATAACATTTAATCTCTCTCTTGGGCACTAATACATCTTTGTGCAAATGCTTTCCATAGCAACTACCAAAAATTCTCTCCTCAAGTGTGTATATTTCTCATCATTCCCAAGGAAAGTTTGACCTGGACGGATTACACTTTTGCTTGGAGGGGCAGAAGAAAAAAAAAAAAAAGACTTTAATTACCTAACCATTGAGTTATGTGAGAGAAAACCTCAAGGAACTTTTGGTTACCAAGCATTAAGGAGAAAAGAATGTGCAAGGAGCCTTTAACCCCTGATTTCAAAAGGGTGAAATAAGGGGAGTCAGAGCTGCCCTGCATCAAGGCAGACTCTAATTTGGGGCTACACAAGACAGTTTCCAGTTCTTCACCCCAGTATGCAGCAGCAGATGTCCTTCTCTCTGTTCTGCAGTGCAAGTGAGAGAGCAAGACCACAGTATGCAGATGCTGTGAACTAGGTTCCATCAACCTCCTGAGACTTGTCTAGAACGTTTATTTATACATCTGCCAATATTCTATGTGTCATGGTGCAGAGGATAATAGTTAATATAGAATTTATAAAATAAAACTTTTCTTACCATGAAAAAAATTATCTGACACTTATGCCCACAGGGTGAGATTATACACTGCCAGTTATTTGTCTGTAAAGGAAAAATTTAGGAAACGAGGAGATTTCTTGTTTAGCTTTTTATTTTGAAGTATTTTACACATGTAAGAACGTATGTCTGGCTCTTATCTAAAATACAATGAATGCCAAAATCAATAATGGAACAGTGCAATTTTTAAAATACCCCTGAGTGTTCCTCAATTTCATCTTTCTGCCTCGTCAGAAATAGTAATTTGTAAGTTTGTCTTTATCTTGGAGGGGAGACATCTTACCTTCTATTCCTTTCTTCTGTTTAAATTCTGTACCATGTGAAGATACTGAGTGGAAAAAAGAAATACATGAAAGTGAAATTAAAGACCCAAACAAAATAACCAATGCTAATATTTTTATTGTAACAGGGGCAAAACCTTTTTACAGAATAAGTTAGAGTATATCTTTCATGAACTAATGTTCCCTTTACAATGAGCGTAGAATACGAATCATCTACAATGCTATTTCTGTTTACTGAGTTGTCAAATGTAGGGCACTTGACATAATTTATTAGAATAAATTCTCATAATTTTGAGGTTGACATGTTGCCTAGGAAAAATATTGCTCAGAGATGCAGTCATCTTATTTCAAATGTTTTTTATTTTCTCTCACTGTCTTTGATATTTAATTCTTAAAGTGTAAATTAAGCCTTCATGATTTAATGACAGTGGATCATTTTTCCGATTTATTTCTGCATCATTCAAGATTTCATGGCTAATGAAATACATCGTGTCTGATGTCAGCAGTTGGCTATTTGAATACTCCGTCATAGGCAGTGTGACCTTTCAGTGCTGTGAGTTGTTTATATGTGATAATGAGCCAGCTTTTTCCAGTGACTGAATTAATCATGGTTGGCCCCTTATGAAGCACCATTAACTCCTTCAGGGCATGAGGGGTGATGCTGTTGCTCACTATATCAGGCCATAAACAGCTCCCAGTTACTTACAGGAAGGAATGCCAATTTAAAACACATTTAGGACATTTTGGCTTAGGGGGAAAAAATTGACTCCTCCAGTCTAGGTCAGTGCCAGATGATAAACTTCTGGATAAAGTTCTGGAACCCTTGGAACACTTAGATATTTAACTGCCCATCCCCCAACTCCCATATTGTCACTGATAGGCATTCAGTAAATTTCCTATGCTTGTGCCAAATCATGAACCAAATGTAATGTCGCTGTAATGGGCTAATAGTCACCGAGGGTTTTCTGTTTGCCAGGTGCTGTTCCAGGCACCTAACATGTCATTTCATATGGTCTTTACAACAGCCCTATGAAATAGCTATCCCAGTTTACAGATGAGGAAACCGCGCTACAGGGAGATTATGTCACTTACCCAAATTTATACAATGACCATATAACAGAGCCTGTAGTCTGCATTAAGCAGTATCCAATAGGGTTTAAAATCTCTATGTGAGATAACATCTGGCTATCTTAGCTGGAAACTTAACTTCTGTTGTCATCTAGATTACTAGTAGTTTTACAACTCTATCCTGGGAAAAACATGTCCAGTCTATAAGAAAGGGAGAATGGTGCAAAGAAATAGTGTTTATGGAACTATCCTCTCCTGCTCTCACTTCCAGTTATTTTGCTACTTTCTAGATCCACTAGACTTAGGAAAAAGGAGGGCCTGATAGGCAGTGAACCTAATTATCCTGTCTTGTCATATGTACAGATGCCCTGTATCTAGTTTGTATAGTCAGTAAATTTTATTGTGTGCATTCTGTGGATCATCCTCTGGGTATATACAGGGCAGTACCACCTATTTGAGAAATACATCCCTGAAAACTTGATTATTCATGATCCAGATCACCTTAATAAAGAAAAGAATTTCTGTTTATTAACTAGAGTAGCCATGAGACAAATGCATAAAAACATTATTTTAATTTTTTTATATTGGAAGTTGAAACATTTTTAGTGAACTTTCACAGAAGCTTTAGAGGAATTTTGGTTTATATTTTACCCATAAAGTAAGGTTTCAATTTTTTTATTTAACATTACACTATTTTAAATTTGCACAAAATGACCATTCTAGTGTATTATGCCTGGGGTATTGTTTTGGTTACTGAGGAATCCAGCAACTATCTGGAAAATTCTTATAGTCTAAGGCTGGATTTCCAGTGGATGCATGCAAACATTTATGAAGTGATAGGTGGTATGTAAAACTAACTTGTAAGCAAGATCATGTTTTCCCTTGGCTTTTTTTAAATCACCAAACCATTTTAAATTGTTTGTTGTAGGTCTTGGCCAGTCTGCGAACTGTACGAAATAACTTTGCTGCATTAACAAATTTGCAAGATCGAGCATCTAGCAAGTAAGTTATGCTTTCTTACCCCTCCTTGTTGAACTTTTATGCAGTGTTTTCTCAATTTTATTGAACTGAAAGCAATATATTAGATTTCTCTGAGTCGCTGCCACTTTGTCTAACTATTTTCACAAAGTCATATGATGTCCTGTTAATTTTCTATAAATACTTTGTAGTGATGTTTCTAATATCAGAAATGAAACAGTATAACAAATAAATAAGGTGATTCCATCTGTCAAAAATCATGTGGCATGATCTGTCCCCTACCCAGTTATTTACACTCAGGTAACTTTATAGTTTTGACTTACTTCATCAGTTAACCACGGGCAAATAATCTCAAGCCTTAAAGTCAACCCAAAGTCATTCCTCAATTCAAAGCAATAATTATTTGGAAAAGCAGGCTCTCAGAGCAAAGATCTTTACTGGTTCAGGTCATCAGCAACATAGAGCAATTAATAAAATTGTGATTTATGTGCAAACAGTGAGAGTCTTTGAAACAGGAAGTGCTTCTTATTTGTGCTTTACCAGAAAAGGTGAAAAAATCTAAAAATTAATTTTCCAAGATTAACTACAAATGACTATTCAAATACCCATTATTTTAACAGTTATTAAGAAATAATAGTGTCATCATGATAGTGGTTTTAAAGACTTATCCAGAAAACAAAAACATTTCTGTAAATCAGTATTAGGAAAGCTAATGCAAATTTATTTGGAATTATAAAGTACTTAAGTGAATACATTTCGTAGTAGTTACTACATGAAAAACCTTAACTGTACATCACATAACAATATAATTGACCTCTTTTGACCTCCCAAATTCACATTTTCCATGATGAAAGAAAAGCTCCAGCCATTACACACATGCTTCCTATAAATACACACACACACACACACACACACGTTAAAATACTGTGACTATCACAATGCAAATAATTAGAATGGAACCCAGGAACATCAGTTGATTGTCTTATTCTCCAAGTAATGAACTTTTGCTGTGCTGTCCTCTGTGCCTGACCATCTTTCACTTTCTTCCCCCACTCTTCATGCACTGGGTTAGTTCATTCTTTAGGAAACAGATTTAGATTTTCTTCTAAACTCGCCCTAACAAACACATCCACACCCACAGCCCTACACGGGGTAGCATGTCATCCTGTCCCCATCTCCTTGCCTTCCACACTTAACTTCTCACCTTCTATTCACACCGGTCTCTCCATGGTCAGTTGAATGTCTCCCTGGATGCTCTTCGAGAATGTCAGCACCGGTGCACAGGACCATGTTGGGTTCTCACTGGCATTCCTGTTGCCTCTCGTGATACCCCACACAGAGAAATTCCTCTGTGTTTGCTTATGGGCTGTGGCAGTAATGGGTAACAAGGCAGGTAAACCCAAGGGCGTACTCTGAGGTATTGGTTGGTTACAAACTTGTCTTCTCTGTTCCATGAAAGTACAGCCTCATGCTGATCTCAGCGTGCCCCTGGGATCTTCTGGAATTTCACAGCTCAAAAGTACCATCACTTCCTCTCTGGAACGAATCAGCCCTGACAGAGAAGTTTCTGGTGTCACTCCTAATCTTTTTTTAGTCCTAGTTTTTATCCAGGAAATTGAGGTTTTTAATCTTTAAAAAGCAAATGAGGCCCCTCCCTGGTGGCGCAGTGGGTTAAAGCACAGCACTGAGAATCTAAGGCCGCTTTTGCATGAGTTTGATTCCCGCCTGCCCCGGAGGTGACCACATGGCGTGGCAGACCTCTCCTGACCCGCCCGCTGCCCGCCTCAGCAGTGTACTTCGTCAGTCTGTCTGTTCTGTTCCCCACTCTGTCTCTGGTGAAGCCTCTCACTGCCCCTGAGCCTCTGGTCTGTACCCTAGTTCAGTATGCACAAATAAGTAAATCTTTAAAAAAAAGCAAATGACAAATGTTAGCACTTACTTAACACTGCCTTCAGACATGGTCTCCTCATCACCTGCTTCCCTCAGGTTCAGATGCTGGCCCAAAGGCTTCAAACTGGCCTGTCTAAAAGTCTCCAGGGAGGTGGTCTGAGGCCTATTCTGTGCAAGACAGCCAGAAGAGGGTAGGAAATCATAACCAGAACTTGACCAATGTGAAGCCCAGAGTGACATCTAAGCAAATAATCTGACGTGGCAGAGACTGAGCAAAGACCTTTGTAGTGTCTCTTCATTTACAAATTGTTCACAGAATTAAACCTTTTCAGCACCCTCAAGTATCTTATGTCTGTGCGCAAAGAAAATCATCTGAATACCCCTGTGAGTTCCAAAGTCTCTTTGCTATCCATTGGAACAAGTCATGAATCTCTAACAAAAGTATCAAAGTTGATTCTCATAGAGAGAAAATAGAAAGGAAAAGGTCTAAAGAGTTTCTCTAATTGCAATATTTACAAAGACTCATTGACTTCTGATAATGTACAAACAATTGTGACATCTTTTGCCAAAAGTAAGGTTCTCCACAATGTCTTAGGGAACAAATGGTAGATTTACTGCGTTTGCAAATATGGGAAGTTTGTGTTTGGTGTGAAATCTCCGACATAATTGAATATAGTCAGTCAATAAGAGCTGCTTCTTCTATAACATCTCTGTGACATTTACATTCACTTTATTCACCCCAAAGTCCATCACTATGAGATTTAACAGTTTGCTCTGTTGACATGTGTAATCTGAGCTATCTTAGTGCAAAGGGCAGCTTGGAACCTGATGACTTAGTGTGAAAGCGCTCCTCATCAAAGCATGTCCTAACTTAAAAACAATGCTTTACATTAAAATGATGTATCTGTAATGACTCAGAGTCCTTAAAATCAGCATGCACACACTTTAACTGTTTTGTGTTTTTCTCTCTTTGTCAGAAGATCACCCATGTGCAATCAACCATCCATCAACAAAACCACCATAACAGGTAAGAAAGCTCTGGAAACTTATTTATTCTTTCATTTTGAGGAAAAAACTTTTATCTTCCAAGATTCAGCATAACCTAACATGGGTTTTTATACTGCAGTTCTTAAAAGTCAAAGAAATCAATTCTTTCTTCTTATACAATCATTTCTCTTGATGTTCTCACAAGTTGTTCATTGAAGTTATTATTTGGAAAACTTACGATGTACCATTTTTAACAACCATTTATATGTGTATTCTTACTGCAGGTAGTACTGCTCTGGACATTTGTGTTTTGAAAGCTACCATAACCTTCAAACTGTTGTTCCTGGGTTTGTTATCAGTATGTTGTTAACATATGGTAGCTTGGTTTAATGACAAAGTGCAAACATTAATAAAAAGTAGATTCTTGTTAATATCCCAGTTATCTATAGGAAGGGAAGTCATTCTGTTAGTCCCCACATGAGTTAAGAGCACTGGAAGACATTCAGTTTGAGAGTGGAGAAAAGAGGTATTTATACAACATAGAAAAGTTAAATGATATCAAAAGAACAGATGTTTGGAGAAAAGAAGTGGAAACAAGGATGAAGGACATAAAGGACAGAAAAATAAAATTACTCCAGTTCCTATTAGTTCTGTTTTAGACATGGGACTTGACCTCAACTGAACCAAAAACAGAACAAATGATCTCATTTTCCTGACCCTAAAACCAAATTGAACTCATTTAATCATTTCTTGAAACCCCAATTGATTCATTAAAATAATTGCCTGGAAAAGAAAACCTATGTTTTCTAAAATTATTACCAGGAGAAAATTAACATATTCTCTAAACGAGACCAATCCGTCAAGATTCAAGTGTCTTCCCTGAATTCTAACTCATAACATGTCGAGGAGCTCCTTGTTACATTTTTAGTGAATACACTTTGCCTGAAACATAGCCTCAGAATGTCTGGTTAGTAGTCTGGTTTCTTCAGCCAGCCTGGTTTGTGGTCACTGCATCAGTATTGATTCGGTTAATGTATTGTTCTTTCTTACGGCTTTTGACTTTTGTGCCTGTGTTTCAACAATGTGTCTGGTGTTTCAGTGATTGGTTCTCTTTTCTATATTGATCTTTCAATTTCTAATTGGTGATGACTTTCCACCGTCATTTCATAGTATATGTCTGGTTCAAGAGTTTTCTTCTTGACATTGAGCAAGAAGTGAACAATAACCAAAATTCTTATTAATTTTTAATTTCATATTAAAAAAGTTCTCTGAGTAACATTTCTTTTCCAGAAACCCAAATACAATGTAAATGTGCCGAAGATAAACCAAGATAGGGTGTGGAGTCTCTATGCACCATGCTTTCTATGCTCCTACCTTCGTTGAGGGATGAGTAGGCTGACCTTGTGAACATGTGTGTGGGGTCTCTAATGGCTGACCTCTTGACACCTGACCCTCAACCCTGCTCTGGATACTAGGTCGGTTCCCTGTGAAGAGGAGAACCCCTGCTGCCTTTGCAATCAGCAAGATTCTGACATTGTGGTTTAAGAAGAATACAGAGGTCTTTTGGCCCTTGAGAACTTCTGTAGTTTGAGATCAGATATGAGTGTGCTACTGGGAGCATCCTCCCGAAAGAGCAGCTGTAGGTACCAGTGAAGATGGTTGTGCCCAACAAGAGTTGGGAGTGGTCAGTGGTGAGAGCAGCCGTCGAGCCCTCTGGCAAGTTCCTGGTGCTGATTAAGAGTGCATTTGCACTCAGAGGGCACAAACTTGGTCTTGAACATATGCAAGATCTTATGGAATTGTTCCCCAAATACCCAGGAGGACATTGTTGAGGTCCAGGAACCTTACGAGAGATCAATGAGTCAATGGAATCTGGAAATTAGGGTTAACGGGACCTCTTTTGTACTCACTAATCTGTGACCTAGGACAGTGAGACTACAGAAATATCTAGAAGGGAAACTAACTGCCATGAACTGCCTAGCAGAGCTGTGTTCATCACAAACACACAGGAATGAGCCTACTAGAGGATGGGAGTCTCTTTCCTTGCCCAGGCATAGCAAACTGAGGTAGAAGATTGGGAGGTGGTGGAGGGGGACAGAGAAAGCAGACAATAAAAAAAGCATGGTCCCCATGAGAAAAAAAGTGAGCCCTTAAATACTAAGTTATAATAGTAATAGTAGTTGAGGCTTTGGTTGATGTTAAGGCATAAGACACAGTAAATGTGTGGGCTCCTCAGCTCCCGAGTGTGCCAGTGCCTCCTCTGAGCTCACTCCCTTTGCTGTTGAGCCTGGACAGCAGTTGCACTGGTCGTTGGAATGGCAGGAACAGTGTTCAAAGAAGTCACTGGAGCACCCTTTATCATTCAGTAGAAGTCATTTTTAGGGTCCAGAGGCAGAGTGTGATGGTGAACGAAGTCCGTGATAGATCTCAGAGACCACTACGGGGTACAGCTCCAGAAAAGAACACTGGCCCTGGATTTGTGCGTTTGTAGTCTGCTCATCTATAGTGATAGCTGTGTGGCCCTCAGTAGGCTACATACCCTTCCCCTGCCTCAGTTTCCCCACTTGTGAAATGATCATCCACTTACTGCTAGATGAAATGAGTACAATGTGGGGTGCCCTTAACGTAGCGCTTCATAGCTTAAACATGCAGTATCGTTTTTCGTTTGACCTTGTGCTTGGGCTGTGTTTTTAGGGCCCATGCTGTATGAAAAGTAGGTGTGATGGAAAGGATAGGGCAGAGAGATGAAAAAAACAACTGGCTGAATGAGAGGAGGAAAAGCTTACAAGATTGTAGAAGTAATAATTATAAATCCTCTCAAAATGGTCAAAATGGACACAATTTCATTGTTCCTGTAAAAATGGGTCCTTCTTTCATCACGGTCACAGAACTGGTGCCTTTGTAATAAGGAACAAAAACAGTTGCGCAGGATTATTTTCCAAATCTAAGAACTTTTGAGTCATAGATCACTGAAGTGGAAAAAAAAAAAAGTAACCATAAATTTTCCATAAGTCAACTCTGATTTTTTAAAAAAGAAGAGATAAGAATTTCAACTGTCTATGCATTTCATACTAGGCTTTCAAAACACCCTTTCCCCTTTGAGATTGTTTATTGCATTTGACATGTGTTAAGCCTGGAAAGTTCCATTTTCTGTCACTAGGGTCAGAGCATGTTACTCCCTTCCCAGTTTGAATTTCCATAAATAACAGGTAAACACGTAGCTCTAAAGTGGTTTAACAATTTTTAAAATAAAACCTCCAAATGCACATTTATAAAGAGCCTTACTACTAAATGGCTGTTTCTTCTTTAGTATGACAAAACAGGAGAGTGTGAGGTTGGTACTTAAATGCCAACCTTCTGTCAATCATTGTATTTCCGCATTTGAGAATGCAGATATGAATCTCTTAATTCTCAGTGCTGTTGCAAGAATTCACGAGATAAACTTGGGAAAGAACAGAGCTCAGCAGTTTATGAGTAAATCGCTCTTGATTTCTTTCTCTAACCTTACCCCCTGCCATTTTGTTCCCAAAATGAATTTAAAAACTGGAAGAACAGGCAGGAGGATGTTGAACCTGTAGCTTTTCTGATACAACTGAGGACTTTTGTTTATGATTTTGTTTTCAAACATTAACTACAAGCCATAGTTAGACACCCCTGTGTTACTTGCGAACGAGGAGGTTCACCTAACAGTCCTCAGCAGCAGTGAATAACCGCACTAAAGAGTGTTGAAACATGAGAGGGCGGCAGAGAGTCAGAGATGCCCCTGGCAAAGCTATACAGTGACAGTGAGCCCTACCAGGGCAGGAGAACCAAATTTCTTGGGGTGCAATTAGTATTTTTGAGCATCTCATTTTCAAGCAACAAAAACTAAACTCAAGAAAGTGACCTGCAGCTACCTCATGCAACCTTGCCATCAGTTCACAATACCATTTTTCAATGTGCCTAACTTCCACCTTTATTGAACCATCTGTGGTTGAAGTTTTTCATGTAAGAATGTAATTCAGAGAAAATGCATTTCAACTTATCTATTTTTTTTTAAAGATTTATTTATTTGTGCATACAGAACTGGGGTACAGGCCTCTGCTCAGGGGCGGTGAGAGGCTTCACCAGAGACAGAGTAGGGAACAGAACAGGCAGATAGACGAAGTACACTAATGAGGGGAGCAGCGGGCGGGTCAGGAGAGGTCTGTCACACCATGTGGTCACCTCCGGGGCAGGGGGGAATCGAACTCATGCAGAAGCGGCTTTAGATTATCAATGCTGTGCTTCAACCTGCTGCGCCACCAGGGAGGGCCCTCAATTTGTCTATTTTTAAGATGAAAAAACTAATATCTAATGACAGAAAATGCTATTTAGAGGCAGAATCAAGAGTAAATATAGGTGGGCCCTCCCTGTTGGCACAAGGGGTTAGGACCACTTCAGCATGAGTTTGATCCCCGGCCCCCGAGATGACCCACATGGCATGCAGACCTCTCCTGACCGCCCACTGCTCCCCTCAGCAGTGTATTTCGTCAATCTGCCCGTTCTGCTCCCCACTCTGTCTCTGATGAATCTTCTTGCCACCCTTGCACCTCTGGCTTGTACCCCAGTTCTGTATGCATAAATAAATACATCTTAAAAAAAAAAGAAGAAGAAATATAAGACTTCTTCCCAAAACCAGAGTTCATGTCCCGTCAGATTTGGGTAGGCTTCAGACCCATAGTAGAAGTATATATTCTGGAGAGAATAAAAGAAGTATTCGAGCATATTAATTCCTGATGTACATTTTTGTACATGGACTCAAAAATCACAAAGTATTATGTCCCGACTTCTCACTGCATGATCTTTATAGTTAAATCTGTTTCAACTATATCTTCTAAGTCCTAGGATGAGTTCAAAGATAGGCAACCTAAGACAAAGTACGTGGGCTTTCAGTAGAAGACAAGCTCTTCTATCAACCAACAGTTACAATTACCTACCCTTTACCTGCAGGGGGAGACATGTGATGCAGTAACAAGCATAAAACAACACAAAAGACGTTTTTGTCCAAAAAGGAAAAGT